ATCCTTTTGCATCGTGTGGTCAACTGGTGTAGGCGCAGCGTGCTCTCGAGGTCGTCCTTCAAGTTGGCTCTCGATTCGCTTCGCTGCTTTAAAGATTTGGCTCGTTCTTCTGCCAGCCGCGGGTCCTTAGGTCGGCATGCCCATTCTGATGCTTGGAACATGTGACGTCCCTCCGTCTGCAAGATCTGTGCCAGGTCCTGCCACGCTCCTTCCATGTTGGCGCACGCACTTAGCATGTCCATGCTGTCATTGTAGCCTGTCTCCTCCAGGTGCGACTGCGTTGCTTTCTCGATCTTCTCGCGGAGAGGGGATGCGCGTGTCTCATTATTTAACGCCTCGGCCATCTTGACGTAGTCCCATCCCGGCCTCTTGTCAGTGAGGGTGTAGTCGAGCTTCGCATCTGTTTCCATCAGGCAGGCCATGCGGTCCCTGGGAACGGCATCGGGCATCGCTTGCAGTCGTCGGGTAGAGGGAGATCCGTGGCCAAACTTTGTCACTTTCTGTGAGACAATGTGCGGGATGCCAAGACACATGTTGCTTTCTATTCTCTCCTGCGTCGTAGTAGCTCGGGCCGATCGGGTAGGAGGTGCCAGGGAAGACCACGTCACTGTTCTCGACAATGCCGCGCATTCGCGTGCCAGCGTAGTGCCCCTCTGTCCTCGCGTACTGGCCGACGCTCTCTGACTCTATCTTCACGAGGCAGCTCGTTGTCAGGATGGTCCCTGTGCCGTTGTTGATGTCGGCTCCGATGGTGCGGCTTGGCACGTGCGCAAGGAGGCCGGCCATGAAGTCCCCGAGCGCGGTGGTGGTGTTTTCGATCCTGTGTTGTTCTCGTCCGTCCCGGCTTCTGGGGGCAGAAATATAGCTCCATCGACATGATATCGCACGTCTTGCTCTTGATTCGTACTGCCCTAGCTCGCCTTCTGATCGGTGTTGGTGGTGGCCATCGTATTATGATGACCTGTTTCGCCCTCGCTGCGTTTTTGTTCTGCAAGGCGGTTACGCCGCAGGCCTTGTTGCTGAGCTGGCTGCTCTTCCGCCATCCGTGGTGGATCGCGCGGAAGCGGGGGAGGTCCTCGACAGTGCCAGGGGGGTGTCCGTGCGGCGCCGAGCGCCCACCAATTCGATGGCGCCAGCCCGCCCGCGCTCGCACGCAATCTCCGGTTCGCGGTCGCGGTCGGCGGTGCTCGGCGGGCTCCAACTGAGTAGTCGAAGCCAATCTGGCGCCAATCTGGCGGGTCCAATCTGGCAATCTGGCGAGGGAGTCGATCTGATCTAATCTGGCGAGAGCCAATCTGGCGCCAATCTGGCAATCTGGTAAACGGCCCCAACATATATATATATATATATATATGTATACATATGTATATATATATAATATATATATATATATATATATATACCACGCGCGCGCGATCTATTGGACCAATAGATCGCGCGCGTGGCCAGCAAGACCGGGAAAGCGATGGCTCCACGTCGCCTCGCGGCGAGGCGTGGGCGGAAGTGGGGCGAGGCCCACGCCGGATCCGGGTGGGGTTTGGCCATGGCGAGGCCTCGCGCGGCGCGCCCACGGCCCCGCGATTGGCATAGGCGACGCGGCTAGGAGGAGGGCGAGGAGGAGGACGACGAGGGGGATACCCGCGGTATGGATGATGCCCTTGAAGGTAGGCCTAACTCTATCGAGTCGGATGGGGCACATGGGCTCGCCCATCCTTGGAGCGGTGCTCGTGAACGATGGGGTGACAAGCCTTCTGGTCTCAGAGCCTGAACATGGGCGCTTCTGGCACCTGGTGCTGGTGGATGGTATCTGTAGCCAGCATATCCCGAGGCAGCCACCTCTATGGAGGAGGGAGGGAGGGGGGGAGGGATGGATGACGAGGCGGATAACGAGCGCTATAGGCATACATAAAACCGACAACTATTTCTGTGGATGAGGCGATCATGAAAGAATTACCAGAAACTGAAGCGACTGGAATAAGGTTTGAAATGCAATCGTGGGCCGACAATCAGTCACATCTTGTAAGTTGACGGCGTGGTACACTGAACCTGGAACGACTGAGTTAGGGGCATTCTGTCTTCCAGCCAGTTCAAAACAATTCTGAGCAACGTATTTTTTGTCAGTGCATGGCATTCATAAGCGTTGCTTGGCACTGCTTGGAATCGTTGCTTGGCAATGCTTGGTATTGCTTGGCGTTGCTTCACATTGCTTGGGAGTGTTCTGCGTTGCTTGGCATTGCTTGGCGTTGCGTGGCGCTGCTTGGCATTGCTTGGCATTGCTTGGAAACAAGACCAAGCAACCCAAATAATGCACTAAAAGCATGAGACCAAGCAACCCGAGACCAAGCAACTGGGGGACTGCAATGAAGAGGCAAGACCAAATAACCCGGGGGGAATGCACAAAGGAAACAAGACCAAGCAGCACGGGGGATGCAGTAAGAAAGCAAGACCAAGTATCAACCAGAGACCAAGCAACCAGGGGACTGCAATAAGGAAGCATGACCAAACAACCCGGGGGGAATGCAAAAAGGAAACAAGACCAAGTACCCCTGGGAGTGCAGTAAGGAAACGAAATCGAGCAACCCCAGGCAACACCACAGTAAGGAAACGAAGCCACGCAACACCTGGCATTGCCACAGGAAGGAAACGAGACCAATCAACCCTGGAGAACGCCACAGTGAGATCACAAGACCCAGCAACTCTGGGAAACGCTGGCTGGCGCAGGCCCAGCACCCACCGGGTCTTCAGAAACCAACCAGACGCCCTCAGACAAGCCGAATACAGGGATGTGTGCAGGGAATCTGTGTCATGGGCTGGTGACCCAGTGAGAGATGTATCGCCTCCTCTCTGATGCATCTATATGGTTAGTACGGAAGCTCTGTATGTTAACGTTTTTTTAACCCGCGTTTTGAGATTGGACGAAAAAGGGGGGGGGGGGAGGGGGGGGGTCTGGCTCCAGACCTCTGCTTACTGCGACTGTTTGCAAGAGTGCTGCCTCGGGGGGACCCCGCCCGCTCGAAACAGGCGCCAAAAAACAGCCAAGATCTACTCCATGGGTGGGGGGGAGGGGGGGGGGGGGGGGGGGGCCCCGCGCCGATGCGCAAAACAACACATAAAAAACCATCACTATCCAGCGACCCCTCTGTCAGCTTTCGGCCATACCTTCCCGAGGCGGGGGAGGGGGCCCCGAGGAAGTGGGGGGGGGGACCCCTCCTCGTGGTGAAGGAATCTGTTGGAGGAGGAGGAAGAAGTCTCCTCTGGAGCTGGAGGGGGGACGCCTCACGGAGGCGGCAGGGCCTTACTGGAGAAGGAGGAGGAGGCGGGGGAGGAGGAGGAGGAGGAGGAGGAGGAGGAGGAGGAGGAGGAGGAGGAGGAGGAGGAGGAGGAGGAGGAGGAGGAGGAGGAGGAGGAGGAGGAGGAGGAGGAGGAGGAGGAGGAGGAGGAGGAGGAGGAGGAGGAGGAGGTCTCCTGGTCCAGGAGACCTCCTCCTTCTCCAGCAAGGCCTCCAACCAGAAGCACTTGCCAACGACAACCGCAACGCAGAAAATCGCAGAAGCAACCGACAAAAAAACATAAGTTCAAAGACGTCCAGAACTTCCGGTTGCGGTGGCTTCTTGCGTGATCACTGGCGGTGGAGGTGGACGCCTCCTGGAGGTGGAGACGTCTGCTGGAGAAAAAGGTGCCCATGGAGTGGAGGGTGGCGCCTCCTCGAGGTGGGCGAGCCTGCTCGAGAAGGAGGAGGCATCCTGGAGGATTTTTTGGGAAATGCCCAGCAGCTGCATGGATGGTGTGCGCTTCCTGTTCAAAACCGATCGTCTCGCCCCGGCACTGCGAAAGAGCTTCTTCCGACCAGCCATAACTGTGGGAGCTGTGGTCCTTACCCCCCTGGGGGAACCCATCGCATCGACGACCTCTCGAGAGGGGTGTCGAAACCGATGGGTCCCCCAGGGGGGTCAGGACCACAGCTCCCCCAGCTGTGGCTGGCCTGTTCTTGGAGCGTCTGCCCGATAGATGGAGGAGGAGGAGGAGGAGGAGGACGAGGAGGAGGACGAGGAGGAGAACGAGGAGGAGGGAAAGGAGGAGGAGGAGGAGGAGGAGGAGGAGGAGGAGGAGGAGGAGAGGTTCGAGCTGCCGTGCGGCCGAGACTTGCTAGGATGCAGGCCCGCGGGGCCCGCACCCCTCCCACGAGTGCCCGCAGGCGTGAGAAGGCACGCTCCGTGGTACATGCGCGCTGACCTGGGACGAGTGGGGTGTTGCTGCAGCATCGGTGGCGCGTGCTGGACGTGCCCTGGCCTTCCTCCTCCTCCTCCTCCACCACCTCCTGCTGTTGCTTTTGCCCCTCCCCCTCCCTTCCACATCACTTCTGTCTCCACGTCCTCCTCCTCCTCCGCCTCCTCCTCCTCCTCCGCACGACTGAGGATTCTCAAGCGGTTCTCTTCCAATGGGGCACCCTCGCAATGACAATGAATTCTTGTAGGGGCCTATGAAGAGGGAACTTGGAGCGAGGGCTCATCGCAGCATCGTTGAGGCGTCTTGGGTTTACGCTGGTCCTCCTCCTCTTCTTCCTCCTCCTCCTTCTCCTCTTGTCGGGGAGACGTAAGACTCGGGTACGGGAGACTCGGGTTGGCCTGACAGGGGCCATCATAAACATGACGTGACCAAATCTGAAATTTGACGCGGGCTCCCGCTGCAGACATCCCACGAAAACGGGACCGTCAAAATCCAGGACGCGCTCGTCAAGAAAAAAGCCAGCAAACCCGAGTTCCAGCTTACTCGAGGCTTACGTTTCCCCGATCCTCCTCCCCGATCCTCCTCCTCCTCCTCCTCCTCCTCCTCCTCCTCCTCCTCCTCCTCTGTCTCCTCCCCCCCTTCTGCTGCTGCACAACATCTTCGTAGCCACATTAGGGCCATCGCAAGACTTACAATAAGGGCACCAGATCTTCGGTTAAGCGACGGCCGTGGACAGGGAATTCTTCCCCCCTCCCCAGAAACCTCCTCTCATCTTGTTCAGGCCCTGTGGCGTCTATATCCATCCACAATTTCCATATGCGGCAATTTCGCCGCATGGGCTTTCCAATCTAGCATGGGCTTCCCTACCAAGCAGACACATGGGCTTTGGCAGCATGGTTTGCCTACCATGGCTTCCCTACCGCGCCTTGCCTAAAATGGCTTGCCCAGCATGGACCTCCGGCCCTCTGGCTACAACTGAGCTTGCCTACCAAGCGCAGAGGCGGAGCGACCAGAGCGGGGAATGTGGTGGATGTGTGGCGTGATGGAGGAGAGGGCGGCTCCACTGTGGAGCTCTTAGACTATGGCCCTCGCCCAGCGCCCGGCCCAGCTCACTGCTCTGGCGCATCTTCCGCGGGAGCGGCGGCTGACATCACCGACATCTGGCCAGCAGGCCAGAAGGGCGCCGCAGCTGGCGACAGGCTCTGCGACGCAGGGGCGGCGCCGGCACTGCTTGTGCTGGGCGGCAGCGGCTGCGCAGAGGATTCCGGAGGCGGCGGCGTCGGTGATGGAAGAGCCTGCTGATGCTCCGGAGCCGCAGCAGGATGATCTCCAGGGGGCAGCACGGCTCCTGGGCTGGAGCCGACGAGCTGCGCGACGTAGGCTCTCAGGTACCTGTTCTCCATCTCGAGCTGGCGGATGTACTCGTCCTTCCGGTCGCGGTCCTCGGCGAAGGTCGGCTCCATGCGGGTGGAGAAGCCTACGCCGTCTGGGAGCGCCCCAGCGTGTCCCACGAAGTCGCCGTATCCCGCCGCGGGGCCAACGGCCGACGGCACCGTTCCGAGGAGGGCGCTCGTGGCCGACAGCACCGGCCGGGCCGCCAGGGGGTCCGCCTGCCCAAACCACGCGCCGCCGCCGTCGCTGGCAAAGTACGCGGGAGGCGCCGGGAAGGCGCCGAAGGGGTCAGCCTGTGGCGCTGCACACGCGGACTGCTGCTGCTGCTGCTGCAGCTGGGGGGCGAAGTCGCCAGAGGCCAGGCCGAGGGGCGAGGCGCCGAAGGCGTTGCGCGCGGCATCCGAGGGCGTCACGGGCAAGGAGCCGTCGGCCGACGCGGACAGCGTCTCGGCCGAGTCGTCCAGGCCCAGCCTTCCCTTGCCCTTCTTCTTGTTCTTCCGCTTGCGCTTCTCGTGGTCGAAGTGGCAGTGCTGGCAGTTCCAGCCGTTCAGGCAGCGGCCCTTTGGGTGGAAGCAGCACCGGTCGCACGTGCCGTCGAAGTGGTTCGCAGACCCGATGGACGGCAACTTCGAGAACCAAGCACCCAATTCCTCGTTCCCCGCGGCGGGCATGAGAACGCTGGTGCCAGGGAGGCCGAAGCCAGCCATTGCGCTGGCCGCCTGAAAGCATCCGGGCTGGGGCTGCTCTCCGCACGCCCCCTTCGCATGGTCACCCCCGTGCGACCTGTCCCCGTCCTCATCGTCCTCGCCATCCGACCCGGACTCATCACCGTCCTTCACCTTGAGCAGGGACCGACCGTCCCGGCATTCCTATAGACCTACCACGAAATGTTCTTAGAACCCCCCAACATGTTCTAAGAACGAGAACAAGGAACACAAACCCGATGCTTTGAAACAGGACAGCCCCAGCCAGAACTCTGCGCCATAAGCACGCTTCGCTGCAACCACAAGGGGTCCTCAGAACATCCTCTGGCAGGCCGATGGGCGGGCCAGGACGCTTCGCCACTGCTTGAGCACCATCGCCAGCAGCGACGGCGTGGATGCCCGCGCCGTGGCTGTCGCCGCCGGCCCGCCAGGCAGCCCCTGCGAGGGGCCCCAGGCGCTGCCGGGAGGCTGGGAGCCGCCGCCGCCGCCGCCGCCGCCCTGGGGCGTGAGCCCCGGGGGCAAGCGCCGGTGCGCCGCCCAGGGGCCCTCCTTTGAGGGAGGGAGGAACAACTCCCCGACAGGGCAGGTTTTGATACATAGGATGTTTAAAACATATTGGATTTGTTCGTTGATAATGCTGAATGCCCGCATGTTTATTATATGATCCGCATTTGAGGGAGGGAAACAGCGCCCCTGCTCTTAGGATTTAGCCAGGGGGGTGCCTGCAGAAAAGGGGGGGGGGGCCCAAAACGCCACCAGCCAGGGGCCATCCCTTTGAGGGAGGGTAGAAACGCCCCTGCTCTTATGGTGTTCCAGCCTACTTTAGCCTTAGTCGGGCCTGTCCCCCTAAACGGAGATTTTGGACGAAAAATGAAAGGCCCCCAAACATGCGCCAAAAATGCTCAAACATAGTCAAACAATGGTCCCCAGACGATGTTTTACTGTTTTGGGATATTTCTCCTGTAGAGGGACAGGCCCGACTTAACTTTAGCCTTGACCACCAGAAAGAATATCGAGCACCAAAAGAGTACCGAAACTCCAGGGTGTTCACGCGTCGGGCCCTGGGAGGCACTCGTCCGACACCGTTTCGACGCTCTTTCGACACTTTTCTGGGTGCTCGAAATTATTTCATGGACGTGGTCCTGGAGTACGATGGGGGCAACATAACCCTACTCTGGGCTACAAGAGCGTGGTCTGCAAACCTCCTGGGAGCTCCCTGAGGCCAGAAAGCCACCAGGACGCCGCGCGACATGGGACGCGCAGAGACATCCTAGTACTATCTGTCCACCTCGGGGGCGCGCGTCCGACCCGAACATATAGTATATCCATCCTGTAGTATACCGTTTCCCGAGCGGTGTGGCCAGAAATCGCCCGCCACGACGCACATACTATAAGATTTCTGGGCGCGCGCGTCGCCCCTGGGAGGGGCGCCGCACATACATAGTATAGGCATGTTGGGGGGACGCCGCGCGGCACGCGCGATGCGCAGGGCTTGTACCCTGTCGGCCAACAGAAGGTTCAGCGCACAGCGCCTCGCAGACCCCGGTAAGGGGCGCTTCTTACGCCCTTGATTGGGGGGCGGAAAGATACGGATACGTGTTGTCCCCGGACCTCTCTTGGGGTGCGTTCTGACCGGAATTTCGAGGCGAATCCAGCGGTGACAACGAGGATTCCCCAGGAGGACCAGGAAAGGCCGAAAACGAAGGGGGACAACATGTATCCGTATCTTTTTCTCCCTCGACTTGAATCCTGGTCGTGGGGCGGCTGCGCACCCGCGGGCCCTGCTGCCAGCAGCGAGCCGAGGCCCGGGAGCCTGTCGCAGCCGAGAGACCTCCACGCTGCGGCGCCCTGCGGTGCGCCCGGCGCTCCTCGGGGGGGACGCAGCGGTGTCGATGCCGCGCTGCCCCCCAGACCTCTCCCGACTAGACGTACGAATGACCTTTCGCGGGAGTGACCTTTGGTGCGGGCCCAATGGGGGGCCCCCCATCGCTGAGCGCGAAGCTGCAGCGGCGGCTTGCGCGCCCGGTTTGGGCCCCCTCGCGCCCCCCCCCCCCAATCCGCGTGCCAGAGGTCACTCTTGCCCAGGGTCACTCTTACGCGTAGCCGACTCTCCCAGGGTGCGTTCTGGCCAGAACTTCCCGGAGAATCCAGTCGTGGCTACGAAGGCTCTCCAGGTCGAGCGGCGGTAGCGGTATCTCTTTCCCCTCTGAGCTCCGGCGCTGCCAGCGGAGGCAGGACTTCTAGCGATGGGCCCGTGGGTCAGCCCTCCCAGGCGGCCCCGCCGCATCTCCGCGGTGGCGGGTGAGCGCCTGTCCTCGTCGGACTCATGAAGCGACGTCTCCAGGCTGTGGTCGGGCGGCACATCGGTCTGCCCGTCGTCGCTGCTGTCCAGCAGCTCCACCAGGCCGCTCTGCCACGCCGGCTTCTCGTCGGGCTCCTCAACGAGGCTCGAGCTTATCCCTACCCCCAAGACCGACAAGCCGAAAGGCGAGGCCAACCTTGGGGATGTGCGCCCCCCAAAGGCGGAGGGAATCCTTGAAGTGAAGCGATGCCAATCTCAGAGGGACAGGCCCAGACATGCGACGTCTTGACTTCGGCAAGACGGCGTCACCGGCAGCCCAGGCCCTTTCCCCGGGGGCCGGCTGCTCATCCTAACTGCCCAGGCCCTTTCCCCGGGGGCCGGCTTCTCATCCTAACTCGTTTTTTTTGACGGCCCCGGGGGCAGGCGAGGGCCCCCAGGGGTAGAGCATACTGAAAAGCCGCCAGTCCTGATTGGGAGGAGGAGGAGGAGGAAAGGAGGAGGAGGAGGAGGAGGAGGGGCATTGAGGGGGAGGAGGAGAGGAGAGGAAGGAGGAGGAGGAGGAGGAGGAGGAGGAGGCGGAGGGGCAAGGAGGGAGGAGGAGAGGAGGAGGAGGAGGAGGAGAGGAGGAGGAGGAGGAGGAGGAGGAGGAGGAGGAGGAGGAGGAGGAGGAGGAGGAGGGAGGAGGAGGAGGAGGAGGAGGAGGAGGAGGGGAGGGAGGAGGAGGAGGAGGAGGACGAGGAGGAGGAGGAGGAGGAGGAGGAGGAGGAGGAGCAAGGAGGAGGAGGAGGAGCAGGAGGAGGAGGGAGGAGGAGGAGGAGGAGGAGGAGAGGAGGATCGATGATGAGGAGAGGAGGATCGAGGAGGAGGAGAGGAGGAGGAAGATTGCGAACGACGCGATCATGTCTGGGGGAGATCTGTGCTCCGGGCCGGCGGGTCCTGGAAGACGTCGTCGCCGAACAGCAGCGTCGAGGGCGACAGCAGCCCGGCCCCGTGGTGCATCCGCCCGCGCGCGGGCCCCGGCAGGGGCCGCGCGCGGGGGGAGCGGCGCGGCTCCGCTGCGCAGCCCCGCCCCTCAGCTGCCAAGCCCACCGCTCGCCGAGCCGGCTGGGCCAAAACTGCTAGCTGGCGGCGGCGGCGGTGACGATCCAGTGAGGGTCCTGACCTAAGGAACCCTAAATAAGGAACGAGGCCCATTTTCTCCATAAGTTAAACTTTGATTTCGTATCGAAAACATAAGGAAAACCTGAGGCAAACTGTGAAACACTTAAGGAACACGGAGCCCCTCCCCAACGAAAAGGGTTCCTTCTTCAGGGCCCCGACTGTATGGGCTTCGAGGTCTCGAGGCCTGGGAGGCTTTCGGGGGCGCCCTCGTCGCCCCTCGGCGGCTCCGTCCAGCCTGGGGACGCCTCCCAGGAGCCACGCTCAGGTCGGGCCTGTCCCCCATACAAGGGGATTTGGGGCGAACAATTAATTTTAAACAACCCGCACAAGGCCCCCCAAAAATGCTCAAACATAGTCAACAAGTCGTCCCCAGACCATGTTTTGACTATTTTGAGGATGCCCCCTGTAGCGGGACGAGCCCGACTTGGAGCTATAGGCCTGGAGGTGGACACCAGCACCGAGGTCGGCGGTGTGCCGCCACCGAGGGAAGACGCTCCCGATCTCGGCGACGGTGGTCATATTCTGGCTTCCAAGAGGACCGAACTATGTTGCCACCAGCACCGAAAGCTAGGATCACCTTCCCCCTGTGGAGGCACCCCCCCTGTGCTGGTGTTGGTGCCCACTTCCAGGCCTCCCAGGCCCGACAGCGAATTGTCCGTTCTCGGTGCTCGAGGGGGCGCCGCAGCCGTGATTTTCCAGGCTTGCGCCCGCCAGGTTTGGGCCGAGGTCGTTTCCACGGAGCCTCGTGTTGCGAAGGGGGGCCCTGTCCAGCCCCGAGCGTACGCGCTGGGCAAGGGCTCGCGCTGGGCAAGGGCTCCCCCCTGTGGAGGCACCCCCCTGTGTTGGTGTTGGTGCCAATGTCCAGGCCCCCAGAGCTGCGCCTGGCCGAGAGCGCCCTGACGGGTACCCGCATCGCCCCGAGCGGCCGCAGGAGGCCCGCGTTCTGACCCGAAGGCCACTGCAAGATAGGCCCAAGGGTTACAGTCGTGGCGTTGACCTAAGGAACCCTAAATAAGGAACGAGGCCCCTTTTCTCCAGAAGTTGAACCTCGATTTCCCTTCGAAAACCTAAGAAAAACGTGGGGCAAGCTGCGAAACACAACGGAGCACGGAGCCCCTCCCCAACCACAAGGGTTCCTTCTTCAGGGCCCCGACTGTAAGTCGGGCGTGTCCCCCTACAGGGGAAGTTTGGGAGAAAACTTAAAGATACTAAAAACAACCCGCGAACGGGCAAGCATAGTCATAACAATCGTCTCCTGATTTCCCCCCTGTAGAGGAACAGGCCCGACTTGACCCAAGGGGTCAGGCGGCACCGGGTCGGGGAAGCCAAGCCGCGCCTCGCGCCCCGCGATGCCCGATGATCTTCGCGCCCTCGCGTCTCCCCACCCTGGAGAAGGGCAGCCGCTCTGGCCCAGAGCGCGGCGCGCGAAGAGCGCGATTGTCTCCCCGCGTCCCCGCGGGGGGCCCGAGTGACGGCGATGGTGCTGAGCTGGGCGCCGGCCAGCCCTCGCCCTGGCGGCCGGCCCCTGCCAGCCCTCGCCCTGGCCCAGCTCAGCACCGCCCTCGTCAGCCGAGGGGGGGGCGCCAGAGCGAGGGCTGCGGAGGGCCAGCGGCCAGGGCGAGGCCCGGGGCCAGCAGCCACAAAACAATCTCGGAGTACTCTGCCAGCGTGAGCGACGCAAGGGACAGCTGCCATATGGATCCGAACGCCGACCAGGACATCAAGTTCGATTACGAAATCATGATTACCTACGTCGGGGCATCGTTCAACTACGTCCTCAGGCACGAAGTGCTACGGGAAGCGTGTCGCTTCAGGATGACCCACAGCCAGACCGTCCTCGACCATTTCGTCAAGCACCAGCTCGCTACTTACGATGCTCGCGTGCCCGATCGGCGACGACTGCGATGACATACCGACACACCAGCTGCCGTGGATTACCAGCGCCGCAGCCTACTTACAGTAAAATTAAGAAAATTAGCAATCAAGAAAGCTAGGCCAGCTTGTCATAAGTTTCTTATGGAAACGCTTGGCCAACTTGTAGAGCCAAGAACGTACATGATTCATTTCTAAGGTCCAAGGCTATCAATCCCCTGAAGAAGCTGAGCCAGCTTTCCGGCAAGTTGGTTAAGAAACGCTCGGCCAGCTCTTCGGGGGGAGGTTTCTTGATCATAAGCGGGACCTTATGTACATCAGGTTGGGTATACGCTACATCCGAGACCGCGCTATTCGCGATCACCCGCTTCCAGAGGGACACCGCCACCGCAGCAATCAACAAAATCAGCGAGCTGATCAACGCCCAGGGAGACCACCTACCAGGCAATGCCGCAGAACAGGCAGCCTATGCGGAGGACGGACACCGAGGACCACATGGCGCAGCAGCTCCGAGAGACATCACCACCAATTGCGAGCTACCCAGCACAAGCATGAGCAGCGACCTAGAGACAAAGCCACAACATCAATGCGCACCGCCAGTACTATACACACCATAAGCGCATGAGGAGCTGCGCCTCGACAACACCATTTCCAGGCCCAACCGCCTGGAAGACGCCCTCGGCAGCTAATTACAGCAGCGCCTGATCACCGACACGCACCCATCGCTGGCGAAGGCTGATAGCGACCATCAGCCCCACGCCCCACCACAGAGACAGCAGGACAGACTGCCCAGCCAGAGGGAGAAGGGCACGACAATTCAACGGACCTGCAAGACGAGAAGGTCCACAGCTCCGATGACGCCACCATGATCGGAGCAGAGACAGCGTGGCAGCCGTGCCCACCGTATGACATCGCCTGCCAACTCAAGTACAACACCCGGGCGAATCGGGAGCCTCCGCCTGATCGCCCACAACGTTTGAAGCACAGGCCTCAGGATGGGACCAGACTGCCAACAGAACACAGCTGGCCGCAGAAATTGCACTTCCCCGACCAGCTACCGACGGCTAAGAGACGGCAGCTATGCTACGCAGTGGGTCGCCAAGGGGTTTTCTCACCCACATATGCTGCATTGTCCGACGTGCAATGCCATGGGTCCCTATTGGGATTTCGCACCCACGGAAGAGACAATCACAGCAGATGAGGGCCTCTCCCAATCTTCACTCCCTACAGGCTCACCTTCTCGTAGCCCAATTCTCCCCTCGTCTTTCCATACTGACATTCTACCACCTCCCATCTTGTGGTGGCGGGATGGGCGGGTTGCTACGGGTATGGGGGGTGGGGACGGTGTGTGCTCACCACTGGCCGCCCTGGCAAGGACCAGAGCGACCGTGGCCGCAACTCAGGCACCCTACAGCGAGCGTCTCAACCTCCATCTCACCCATCGCTGGCCGCCAAGGGCGTGATGGCGGCCGCAGCCGCACCACAGCCAGCAGCAGGCTGCAGCCGCAGACTCCTCCCACCTTGTCACCGTCGCCTACAGCCGCGACCCTAGGTCCCTTTGCCCACACCAGCAGTAGGGGGGCGGGATGGGGGATTCAAAACGGGTTATGTAGGGATGGGCACCACAATCACAGAGCTTGCCACCGCCACCGAAGGCATATACCTCTTCCAAGCACGGTGGACCCCCTCCAAGCGGCCCCAGCTCCCGCGGTCTGGGTACCCTGCTCCTACCTTTGCGGGGGAGGGCACCAGTCGCGACGCTGGGGGACGCTGGGGTTGGGTCCTGTGTGCAGGAGGAGAGGCCGTCATGCCATCCAACTTGGCGATAGTGGCTAGCTACAGTCGGACTTGATTGGACAGGGCACGCGAAAAAACACAAGACCCTTCCGAGGGCCACATTGCCATAGGAATGTTGGAGGCATTGGTCGCGAGACACAGGACACAAGGGCACCCTTGATGTGGCAGGGTCGACCTACTAATCGGGGCCGACTGTACCCTTGCCAAGCGAGTGTGGGGAACCCGACCACCGCTGGGAAGGCTCAAACCTCCCTCACGCGCGGTGGGACCCCCACCAGGCGGCTCCGAGGTCAACGTTCCGGGAACCCTACGCCTGCTTGTTGCAAGCCACTGAGTATGAACTCGCGCATCTGGTTATCGCTGTAATCGGATGGTTGCGACGAGCCCATCATCTCGGCCAACGCCCGAGCTGTGCCTGCGTAAAACATCACAGGACGCGCGTCCGCCGGGGACTCGAGGACAGACGCCACGAACATCACCCAGGTGAGGGATCCCGTTGTTGACCTCGGGGACGCCTCTGGGGGGGTCCTGTGAGCAGAGGGAGAAGCTTCGAGCCTTCTAACTCGGCGTGCGTGGACCGGGAACGCCGCCGCGCCCCCTGCCGCCGTGCCAACAACCACCTCTCATCCACCAGCTGCGCCTCTCGGAATCCCACACCTCCCTTTTCGCCTGCCACTGCCGCGCCATTTGCTTCCCCACGCCTCACTGTTCCGCACGCCTCAGGGCTGACAAAGGTGGACACCTCAGAAGAGGGGTCCCAGGGCGCCCTCCAGGGCATTGGCCCAACGAGGCCAGCTAACCCGAAGGAGGGAGGACACAACCACACGGCCCCAGGGCCTCTCACCTTTTCTTCACCGTCACCACAGCCGCTGCAGCACCGAGAGTCATCTCTCTTCTCTTTCTCCTTTCGAGGTGATGATCATGAGCTTGGTTGCCCTTCTCTCCTCTCTCTCTCTCTCTCTCCCCTTACGCTGTCTGTCACGTTTACATGTACGTCCTACAGCCCGCGGTAAACAACGCCAGGCTCTGGTTTGATCCCCCCAATGGCCGACTGGCCGTCGGGGGGGGAGGGCCATTAGGAATCAAGAATCAGGAGGAGGAAAAGGAGAAGGAAGAGAAGGACGAAGAGGAGGAGGATAACGAGGGGATGGCAACGTCAGATTACATCCATGCCGCCAGTATAGTGACCAGGAGGAGGAGGAGGAGGAGGAGGAGGAGGAGGAGGAGGAGGAGGAGGAGGAGGAGGAGGAGGAGTAGGAGTCAAGCTAGCCAGCTCGAGCGAGTCAAGCA